CTGCCTTGTGCATCGCACCTGTCCAGGCATGGGTAAGGATGAAATAGATGGGAAGGCTGCTGCCATGGGCCAAGGGATTCCAGGAGTAGCTGGACGTCAAGGGAGCATCGTCTCTGGTCTTTGGAGGGAATGTAGCACAAATGTCACCACAGGAAGTCAATACTCAGAGAGACCCTCAGTTACAGAAAGTGTCAAAGAATGTGGGTTCTGAAGTCAGCAGGCTTGGGTTCAAATCCTGACTCCTTCCCTAAATGGACAGAAGACCCTGAGCAAATTACTGATTATCCCTGTGTCTCGGTGCCCCTGTGAATGAAGACAGAAATCAATAACAGAACTGCTCTCCTAGGGTTGTTGTGAAAGTTAAATGAGATAATAGATATTTAGAACAGTTCCCAGTATGTAACAGACCTTCAGTGAACAGCGGTGATATCTATCTACTATTTATTTATTTATTCATGTATGTATTTATTTTGCAGTGCTAGAGATTTAAGCCGGGGCAGTCTATCAACACTCATTTATATCCCCAAACCCTTTTTTAACTTTTATTTTGAGACAGGATCTTTTCAAATGCCTAGGCTAGGCTTCAACGAGCCATCCTCCTGCCTCAGCCTCCTGAGTAGCTGGGATTACAGGTGTGCGCCTCTGGTTCTGGTGGCAACTTTTATTATCCATGTCAGACCCAGACCCTCAGGTCTAGGCAACTTCCCGATTGCCCTTCCCAAAGCAACGGCTTGGCACACTCCAGATCTCTCCAAAGCTGAGCCCAGCCAGGTCTGCATTTACCCAAGGGCTTTGGGCATCTGAGAGTTCTTCCTTCCTGTATCCTTCCCAGTTGCCACCAAACCTGAAGGCTGCCTTCCGCCCCCTCCCCCACAACAGGGGTCACCCAAGCAGGAGTGACCCCTGCTCTCCCACCGTCCGGTGGCTTCGGCAGCAGGCTGGGCTGTGACGGTTCTTTGTGCCCAGTTCCCACCTCATTAAATCAACTATAAACATTTTATTCCCCTGCTTGGTCCAGAGCACCTGCCGGGCAGAGCCGGCCCTCACTCCTGAGTGTTTGCAGAGTGACTGCGTTTATTGCTCGCTGTGTACAGCAGTGTGGCCAGCTCCTTGCTCTCGCTGAACCTCACATGGTTTCAAAGGTTGCCCTTATGTGCGAAGAGCCATTCTCACCCCCGACACATTCTTCCCCATTTTATAGACGTTGAGTACTGCTTCCCCACCCTTTTCCCAGCTGGGCTGAGGAACTCTGACCCCTCTAGGACAGTCCCTTTGTCCCCCTGCTCCAAGTCATCTGAAGCACTCGCCTCCACCCTTACTAGGAACACTTTGGCAATTGGGAGCAGCAAAACGAGGCTCAGGCTTGCAATCACAGCAGTCTGGGAGGCTGAGGCAGGAAGGCTGAAAGTTTGAGCTTAGCCTGGGCAGCTCAGCAACTTAGCATGATCTCTTCTCAAATAAAAAATTCTTTTTTTTTTTCTTTTTTTTTTTCTCTGCAGAACCAGGGTTTGAACTCAGGCCCTTGCCAAGGAAGCGCTTATTCCCCTGAGCCATCTCCCTGGCCCCTCAAAAAAATCTTGAAAGGGCTGGGGAATATAGCCCAGTGTGAAAGCCCTGAGTTCAATCCAATGTACAGGAAAAAATAATAATAATAACAGGACACAAGTTCCCACCCTTGTGTTGATTCCTGGCATTTCCTGGTTCTTGAGCCCCTGCAGCATCACATGGAAAATAGTAACTTCTAGAAGGTGCCCTTCTTCCTGGAGGCCTTTTATGAGCCCCTCAGTGCTCTGCAACCCTTCCCCAGGTAGAGGGGGAGGGCTGCAGAGCAGCCCTAGGGACCAGCATCACCTCCATTCCCTGGGTGATGCTGGTCCCTAAGCCCCCATTCTAGGCCTCTCTGATGCCATCTGCCTTGGCAGGGGCCTTACCAGCTCCACTGAGAACGCCCAGGTTCCTCTGGGGTCCAAAAGCCGCGGCGCAGCTCTCCTGTCCCTGTCACCTGCAAGTGCTCCTATACCAGCTTCCATTTCCCCAGACACACACACCACCAGCCTCCACTTCCCTGCACCTCAGTTCCACTGCATGGCCATACCCCACCTTCTCTGGGTGCTCTGCCTTCTCCCTGCTGTCTGCCCTCCCAAACCTCATCAGGCTCCCCTCCAGCTGGAGAACCAAGAGGAGAGGAAAGGGTGGAAACAAGAGATGCCGCCCGCCCGCAACCCCTGACCTCACCTCTAAACAGCTCCCCAGGGACCCAGGTCACAGGTCTGGCAGGTGGGGCTGCAGAGGGCTGAGGTCCTCCAGAGCCCGAGGGGCGGAAAGCACAAGCCTGTTGCCCAGTGACTGCAGTCCTGTTCATCTGTTCCTGGTGGCCCCAGGTACATCCCTCATCCTCTCTGAGTCTCAAGTCCATATCTGTCCTGACTTCATACACAAGCCTCCTTGTGAGAATGGGACCTAGTAGCTATCAAGCGGCTTTGGAAACGCAGAGCCCTCTGAGGGGAGGGATGGGGCGTCGGAGTCCTGAGTGGCCCATCGCTCCCTCCTACTGGCCTTTGGTGGCACTTGTCCTGGGCGGATGTTCCCCTTCCTCTGCTGCGCCCTAACAGACTCATAGGCAGTTTTAAACAGCTGCAGGTCAGGACCTGGTTGACTGACTGATCAGGGTCTTTCTGGTGTGACTGTGCACACAGAGGCAGCCCCACTTCGGGCTGCTGGGCCCTTCATCACTGCCATCATCATCACTGCCACCTCCTTCTCAAATAACCTCCCCAGAGGAGATTGCCAGAGCCACCAGCCAGACCTGGGCAGCAGGGGCAGGAGCAGCCCCCCTGGGATGGAACCCTGCCCCCATCCTTTCTTCCTCTTGACTATAACCTGAAGGGGAATGTGTCTGCTATCAATGTACTTGCATGGTGTCCCTGAATCCATGCAGCCACCCCACCCTCCAAGACCCCTCCAAACACACCTGGGTCAGGGAGGAGGAGATCCATCACGGCTGGGCAGCAAAGGTGGCTTCCAAGGCCTGAGTTCCAGCCTGGGGTTGTGAGGTTCTGCATGGGTTACCTGGTAGCTGCCCCCAAAGGCTCCAGATACCCCAGCTCCAGCTCCTTCTGCCCCTGGATGTCCTCCATACCCAATCCTAGGTCTCCCTGCTCCACCTGGAGCCGCTATCCCTGGTTTCCCCCTTTTCTGCCCTCCTTCCTGAGAGTCTCTTCCCTACCTCTGGAGAATCAGAGAGCATGAATGAGACCGCTTACCACCTGTCACTTCCCGGACTTGGCTATGACATGCTCAATAAGGGCCATCCCACAGCCTGTATCTCCCCGCCCAAGCCCTTGGCCACATCTAAGAGGGGGATTTTTCCAGGTGCGCCTGCAGCTCCCCACAGTGAAGAGCAGAAGCTGCCCAACAACCCCTCTGGCAGCTTCTCGCCCCGAAAGAGCCCTGGAGAGCAGAGCAATGTGGAGCACGGTGTACGCAGAAAGGGCCCTCAGCCCCCAGAGAGGCCAGGAGAGTAGGAGAGATGGAGTCCAGCCATCGCTGCCAGCAGCTGCACTGGGGACATCAGCAGAACAACCCCAAATGCATCTTTTTCCAGCTCTGCAAGGCCTCACGTGGCCCTTTCAGTCCCAAAGGCAGGAGGAGATCATGTCACAGATCTCCAGCTCTTTGGCAGCCCCCGCGCTTCTCAAGGGAAGGAGGGAGGCCACCACCTGCAGCCCTGGCTGGCCCAGGCACACTCAGTGATGCCCTCGAGCGAGACAGCCTGACTCTCACTCACCCGCTGGTCCTGTCGTTGAATCTGAGGCAGCACTGAAGGTCCAGAGCTGGAGGGCCAGCGGCAGAATCCAGGTCACCAGCATCTCCCAGGGCACTGGCCCCTGGCGGCAGAACCTTCCCTCTCTGAGGGGCCGGGAAATGGAAATGAGAGGCTCACAGGGAGGTAGCTGCTATATAAAGGACCCTGGAGACCTTTGCCTTGGGAGGGATGACGCCTGCCCTGATGCCTGGCTTGGGATGGGAGGCTGAGGTGATGACACTGGGTGGGTAGCACGCAGTGACCACAGAGTTGGCCAAAGGGCACCCTGTTGCCCTCTAACTAACTCCTGCTGTGATGACTGCTCCAGCCAGAGTCATTTCAGGAAGCCAAGTCGCTGGGTGGAGCAAGACATAAAGGAGGGACAGGAAGCAGAGGTGTGAGAGGAGCAGATGGGGGCGGGGGACCCCAGGGAGGGGGAACATCAGCGCCTCCAGCAAGCGGGACAGAGAGAGGTGGCAGGACAGATGGCAGGACAGATGGCAGGCCAGTCTGGGGGAAGAAAATTCATCCCTACCCTGAGAAACCTCCTTCATTCAGCTTTCCTCATCGACCATCTCAAACTGGCCCCTTCCAAATTTCCAGCACTTTCCTACTTCCGGGTGAGGTATGGGGCACCCATTCACATCTGAGACTTTATAGCCTGGTCTCCACCCTGGCCAGAGTCAGAGGTGAGGGAAGCCATGGCCAGTCCCTGCCCAGGGCAAAGGTCCGAGGGACCTCTCCCAAACCCCCACACAGAGAGCCACTGGCGCAGGTTGTGCCCAACCGTCTCAGCTCTGGTCACGCAGGACTGACTGCCCACAATAGTAGGACGGGAGTGCCTGAGCCTGGCATGGACCAGCCCTGTGGTGAGTATGTGTCTGCGGAAGGGGCTCAAGGACGCTTTACACATTTGTACCAAGGCAGTTGCCCCAAGCTGTCCTTCCCCTTAGATGGTACCCGGCAGCAGCATTCACAGTATTTTTTGATCACACCTCATAAATACACTCAGGAAAGCAGACTTCAGAATTCCAGAGAGTAGAAAGAATAATGTGATAAAAATGTTCAAAGCAAAGTAATCTGAGGGAGAATTAATGGCAATGTACTTAGTATTGTAATAATCATTTTATTTAAATACTCCAAATAGTTTTCAATCAGCCCTTGTATAACCACAACCCTAAGGGCTGCCCCCAGCCCTCCCTGGGAGAAAAGGGTGCATCTGGGGCTCGCTGACATCTCATTCTGAAGTCCCTGTTCTACAGCCAGATGGAAGACACCAGGAGAAAAGAGAGACACAAAGCAGCCTCTTCTACGGTGAGCAGGAGGGGAAGGAGGGTGAGGGCGATGAGGAGGAAGAGACTCATTTCCCTCCGCCCTTGGGGACCTCAGGAAATTCATGCTCCCCCGACATGGCTTTAGGCCCTTGAGGGTGGGAGGACAGGTAGAGCCTCCAGGTGGGACTCAGGGCTGGGAGTGCAGGCCGGGGGAGCCTAAGACATCTGGGGTATTTGTACCTATCTAGGGGAGGGATGTGGGGGAGGTGATAGGATTTGGGGCTGAGGGTATGAGGGTGGGAAGGGGGAGCCTAGGGCTGGGGAGGGGACTGATTTGAGGAATTGGCAAAGAAGAGGAAAAGATTTAAAGGAGAGTCAGGGTTCTGGCAAAGAGTTATATAATGGTTGGTCTCCAAACAGGCCACAGGCTCAGGGCAAGGGACAAGAGACATTGCAATGGTAACAGGGTGCAAACAGGAAAATAGGGACCAAGACCTGAGGTGAGGATGTGAGAGCCTGAATTAGGCGATGTAAACATGGGAACTGAGACGGGAGGGTGGACGGGGACACAGGACTGAGCATCCCATCGGTTTTCACAGTAACTGTACGAGGTATCAGGACAAGTGCATCATACCCGTTTTCAAGGTGAGCAAACGGAGAAGGGAGAATACTGACTCGCTCAAGGTCCCACCGTGGAAGAGCCTGGATGTGAACCGGGTCTCCAGGTGGGTTTCAGCCAAGTCGGGAGAAGGATGGGAGTCAAGGGGACGATCTGGTTTTGCCCAAGGACTCTGGGAGCTTGGGCTGCAGAAGTCGTGGGCATATCTCCTGCTGGACCTGGTATAGATAGCTCCCTCCTGCTGTACTGGGTGGATGGAGGTGTAGGGCTCACATCGAGGACATGGCCACCTCAGGTCTCTGGATGTGCACCTGTCCCAAGTGTGGGTGAGCAAAGTGAGGAAGGGAGCCCCCTGCTGGGCCAGACCAGCACTCCTGGGAGCGCGCCTCTGCTCCCCACCCTCTCACCTTAACGTTGGGGTCCAACCTATGCAGAGCCACTTGGAAGCTGGCATCCTTGGCTAGAGAGAGAGAACAGAGAATAGGTCGAGGGGAGGATAAAGGAGGGATAGGATGGGCCCCAAAGGGCGGCGGTGCAGCGAGGGGCAACACCTACTCCCCAGTACTTCGGTCCTGGGCTGGGGCCTTGGTTGCCTCCTGGCTAGGTCGCAAGAGTCTCGGGGAAGCCCCTCCTGCCTTCCCAGTTGACAAGACTCACCTATCCTGTCATCCTTGAAGCCCGTGTTGACGAAAGTCCCCACGGTGTCATCATCCCAGACCTCGAACCATTGCCTGTCCTCTGCCTTGGACCTGAGCAGAGGCACCGCGCGGTCAAGCCGAGCGGCTCACACTGAGACCCCTGCTGCCCTCGTCGCCCCCCTCCGCCACCTCCCCGCCGCCTCACCGGCTGTCCTTCCTCCGTGGCCGCTTCACCCAGAAGCTCAGCGCCCCCAGCAGCAGGAGTAGGAGCAGCGCGCCGGCGCCCGCCAGCCCCCCGACCAGCGCCCTCCAGTGGACGGCCACCTCGCAGCGCGAGCCGGAGTACCAATGCGTGTCAGAGGAGAAGCAGCTGGGGAGAGGTCACAGGTCAGAAAGCTCACAGGCGGGTGGGCGGGGCGCTGTGGTCGCGGAGGGGCGGGGCGCATGAGGGCGGAGGGCGTGGCCTCTGGAAAGGATCCAATCCGCGGGCGGGGCGCTCGGTCAGGGGTGGGGCCAGGGGCGAAACTCCACCTAAAGAGGGTGGGCGGAGCATTGGGGCGGGACTCTCCCCCGGGGCTCAGCCTAGGAACTGCAACCCGGCAGTGGTCAGGGCTTTGGGACTTCGGGGGTGCAGGTGAGACAGCAGGAGGAGAGGATGGGAGGGCCGTGGGTGGTCGGAGCCCACTGAGTGGGAGGCGGGAGGGATTCTGAGCCTCACCGGCAAGCAGGCCCACTCTTCTCCAGAAAGCACTGGCCCTGGTTACAGTCGATGGCACCAACCACACCCGAAGTGCAATTGGAGACACAGTGAAGCCGGTTCCCTTCCACCAAGGGGAAGTAAAACTCTTCGTAGCCCTTGGCGACTGCTCTGCTGCAGATGGCTGGAGGGTTGGGGAAGGGGTTGCAGAGACAGGGACCGCATTCATCCCATGCAGGGGTATGATTCTAGTGACCCAAAACGCATAGGAAGAACATTTCCCGGGGTGGCACCGTGGGGCTGACCCTTAGATCAGATGGAAATGCCCCCTGAACCTCTGCCCTTTCATCTTACCTGCTGGTGCCCGAGTGGGAGTGTCTAACAAGGGCCAGGAAAGCCAGGCTGGGCCACATCACTTGCCTCCCGGAAAGGTCCCCTCCCCTTTCCCCAGGGAGCTACAAAGGGCAGCTGTCCCTGGTGGGAGGGCTCGTGGCCACCTGAGGCCACTCGGCCCTTTGCTCCACCACCCTCACCTTTCAGATTTAATTCTGTCCTGGTGGTGTTGTCCACCTTGATGGAGTTAGGCTTGAAACACAGAGCTGGGGGGGGGGGGGGAGAACACAGGCATTGATGAAGTTGACCAGAGCAGGTATGGGAAGGAGAGGGTGCTGTAGTGTTCCCAGATGTGGTGGGACTGTACAAGAAAACAGCTGTTTTCCCCTCCTCCCCCTAAATAATCAGGTGTTTTCTGCCATCGTAGGAACACTCATCATACCTGCTAGGGAGTCTCTTCCCCGGCACCCAGGTCTGGTAAGAGCCTCCATAGTCCCACCCTATCCCTCTTCCCCACCTGCCACAGACACCACAGGGCTGGCCCCTGAGCTCTAAAGGCAACCTGGTCCACACTGAGCCAGACTCCTCCCTCCAGCCCTGCTCACTCTGGTTATCCTGGCAGCTGCTCCCGCTCTGGCTGGCATTCTGGAGCTCCTCCTTGAGGGCCGTCTTCACCTTCTCATATTCACTCTCCAGCTGGGAGCTGACAGGCAACTTTAGCAGAACTAGATAGTCCACCACAATGCTGCCGTTCCTGGGGGAGGCAGAGCCATAGAAGGTTCCCAGGCCTGGGGCACATGGGTCCTTGGAAGGGCACTTCCAAAACCAACTGAAGTGTAGTCCTGAGTTTGGATGCTACCCATATTCTTTTCAGCCTGGCAGTGCAGGATGAGCAGTGACGGACATTCTCCTGTGTTGCATGAAACTAGCACCAAACCAAGTTCTCCTGGGCTGCCTCCCTCACCCCCTCTCTAATGCTGACCCACCCTAGAAGAGCTAGTGCCAGCCAGAGAGAGCACCAGTCAACAGTCCCAACACCACCTCTCTATATGTCCCATGCGATCTCCTAGCATGCTGAAGAGGAGGACTGTTGTGCCTTCCCCAGAGGAATAACCCCACATAATGATCACAAAATCCCCAAGTAGCTCCCTTGCACACACCTTCCACCCCTCTTTCCAAGAAATCTGATGGCTCCAGAAGCAGAAGGTGGTTTCTCCAGCCTTTCTGCACACCCTTTGCCACCACTTAACGCTGCCACCATATCTTCAGGGTGGCCTCCTACCTCAGAGACAGGACCTCCACACTTTGGAACCCCTCCACATTTTCATAAATCTTCATCATCTGAAATGCCAAGGATCCCTGGATTCATGTCTGAACTGTGGGCCTAAGGACCCAAGAACCTTGAGGCCCAGCTCCAGGAAAAGACCCTCTGTTCCCTCCTTTCTCCCCTCACCTGATTCTGGAAATCGTTGCTGAAATCTCTGTAGGCTTTGGAATTGTTGTCTTTGAGATCTTCAGAGAACTCCCGGCTGACAGAAACCTCCATGCCCACTTTAGCCTCCACGGAATCTATACACAGCATGCTCAACTTCAGTCACTTGCCATCTACCCCATCTGCCATTTCCACCACCACCTCCTGTCTGTCAGTCCTCCCTCTGGCCTCTCTCCACAGACCCTGGGGACTGGCTGAACAGTAGCAGGGGGAAAGGAAGCGATTCTGGGGTACAGTGCCTGGAGGTGAGGTAAACAAATCAGGAGGCATGAGTGGCCCCTTCCTTATCTGCTCATGAGGTAGACAGGATAATGGCCCCCAAAATGTCTCTGCCCAAATCTCCAGAAAGAACCTGTGACTGTATTATGTTATGTGGAAGTATAAAATTAGATTGCAGATAATCTGCACTATAATGCATATAAAAATAGCTTGCTAATCAGACTTTAATATGGGAAAATTCACAAATACTATCCAAGTGAGCCCAGTATTGTCACAAGAGTCCTTAATAGGGAAAGAGGGAGACAGAAACCCCTCCAAGAGTCAGTCAGAAGGTGTGAATGGGGTGGGGGTAGCTCAGTGGTAGAGCATGTGGCTAGGGTGTGCAAGGCCTGGGCTCAGTTTCCCAACATCCCCTGTTCCCCCAAAGAAGAAGGCATAACTATGGAGAAGAGGCATAGAGCGGCAGTTTCAGGGGCCTTACCACAAGGGATGGAAGGCTCCAAAAGACAGAAGTGACAGAAAATAGATTCTTTCTCCAAGCCTCTGAAAAACAAGGCCCTGGTGACACCTAGACTTCAGTTCAATGAGACCCACATCAGACTTCTGCAGGGCTTGGAATTCAGCTCCAAGCAGCCCAGACCAAAAGGATGCCCAGGAGGAAGTCTGACACCAGCAATAACTTGGAAATGGAGAGGAGGCCTGGCTTGGGACAGCACAGGGCATGGAAAGAAGACCAGAAGGATGGCGTGTGGGTGGCTTCCAGGACCGCTGAAGGCACCCTCAGGAGGACGTGCAAAGCACACGGCCCTGCAACTCACCTAGTTCCACCTGTTCCACTGGAATTTCACAGAGGGAGCCATAGAAGGTGCTGGGGCAGAGGCACTTGAGGCCATCCAATGTCCCCCCATTCTGGCACTTAGAGTTCTCACAGTGGTCCCCAAAGGAACCTGGTGGACAACTGCAGTGATCCTGTTCCCAGGTGCCACCATTTTCACAGATGCCTGGGAAACATAAAAAGAAAGGGAATTCCAATGGGATCTGATCATGGTGACAGGAATTCGGCAGGGAAGGAAGGGAAGCAGGCAGTCCCACCTGGAGTGGTGGTCAGTCTTGCTACTGTGGTCCTCTGAGTAGTGCTTGAAGCTGTTCTCGGTGATGTAAGGGTGGTAGGAGTCTTCGTGGTGGCCACTGGTCTCTCTGAAGTCCTGGTGATGGAAGGGGTGGGATGTGTCCACTTGCTTGAAGTTGTGACAATTGGAAGGTTGCTGCTTGGTTTCACAGTGGAGCCAGCCATCCGCGGGGTGGTGACAGAATTGGTGCTCAGCCAGTTCTTGCTGGGTGTTTGGGTACCAGTGGACACCGTGTTCATGTACGCTGTGCCAGCGCTGGTAGAGCTAGGAGTGTCACTCGGGAGGTGGGCAGGCTCGGTTTCGGGAGTCCAGGAGGTATCACTGTCCGTATATGTAGGACGGTTGGTTCTTCCGCTGGCAGGACTAGGACTGGAAACCATTTCAGTAATGGAGGGAAAGACGGAGAACGGGGTCATAGGAGTCGCTGTAACCTTCGTACTGGGATTCACTTCAACACGTGGAGTCGTGGGAGAGGGAGGGACTATTGTGGTGGAAAGATGGGAAATGTAAGAAAAGGGAGTTGTTTCAGCGAGAGTTGTGGCATGTGAGGACACGGCTGGAGACATTCTGGTAGTTGCAGATGAAGACAGAGGAGGAAAAGCTGTGACGGAAGAAGAGCTCATATATTCTGTGCTGGAGAAGTGAGGGAAGGTAGGGGCAGAGCTGGTGACAGTAGTACTCATCGGACCACTGCTGGCTGAGGAAGGAGGAGAGGACAGTGTTACCAAGGCTGTTGAAGGGACCAGAGGACCAAGAGAGGTGCTCACTGTACCTGTAGATGGGCTCCTCGGAGAGGAAGATTCTGTGCTAGACTCACTTGAAGAGGTGAGTGAAGTCAGAAAAATGGGAATGGAGACAGAGGTCTTAGGTGTGGACAGCCTGGTATTTGTACTAGGGACATCTGCTGTGGACGTGAGCATGCTGAGGGGTGGTGATGGGGTCAGAGAAGAGGAGGAGGGTACCCCTGTGGTATCAGCCTTGGCTGTCTCTGAGCTGGGCAAAGAGGGGCTGATAGTTGTAGCCACGGTGACAGTGACTGGTGTGTCTGTTCTGGTGGTGACAGAGGTACCATGAGATGTGGAGTGTGTGACAGCACCAGTGGGAGAGCTGGAGGAGGGGACGTCAGATGTAGCTGTGGACCTGGCGTCAGTAGTTGGGAATGTGGGCAGCAAGGTGGATAAAGGGATGGTGCCTGTGGCACTGAGGGTAGTGGCTGAAACAGAAGTGAAAAGTACAGGACTACCCGTGGCTGATGCTCCCACACTGGCCATGGGAGGAGAGGTGCTGGATGTCCCAGAAGTGGGCACCTCTGTGCGGGTGACAGAAGAAGCAGTGAGGGCAGGAGAAGTAATGTCCATCTTGAGAG